GAAACAAAAGGAATTGGTATCGATGCAGCAGAGCAGACCTGTGCTTCAGCTGCTTGAAGGAAGCACGGTTCAAGATTTTAGGCCTCATTGATAATCGAGCTAGTCATCCCATTCTTTTATTCTTCTTTAACAATGTATTCCTTACATTTGCTTGCTTTTTAGTGGCAACTGAAGATGTTTGTGGGTGCAGCTTCTGTATCCAGTGCACGTGGTGGAGAGTGATTACAACAAACCAATCCCTCTCCCCCAAAAACTTTAATTTTTGAAAGGCAAACTAGTCCAGGGCCAGATCTTATCTTACTTACACTGGTGTAAATCAGTGAAGTTATTCCAGATTTACACTGATGTGAGATCAGAATTGGGTCCCTTGTTACGGAGTGTAAAGCATAGCACTAATCTGCAATAGGCATTGAAAATAGAAATGTTCTTTTGAATAAACATCCTAAAATACAGTGCACTTACCTGCCTGTTTTTTATTTTTATTTATTTTTTTATTTTTTTTACAATCCTTAGATTATTAATATTCCAGCTGGAGGAGCATTGCTTGATTCTGTTGCTGTCATGGATTTTTTCCCAGGATTAAATTTGGAAGGTTTTCCCAACAGGGACAGTACAAAATATGCGGAACCATATGGTATTCAGTCAGCCCATACCTTGATAAGAGGCACCTTAAGGTATAAGGTAAATTCTTAGATATTTTCTGTTTTTTTTTTTTTTATTAAAATCTTGTTCAAATTAGACAAATTTTTAACAGTTGACCGTATCCCTTCAATTCACGTCTGTCACATTTTCAGTGAGAACTTTTTACCTGCTATTGTTACGAGGAATACCTGTGATTGCTATAGCCAAAAGGGACCAAAAAAGTTTTTTTGCTTTACTTTGTGAATATGACTGCACTTTGCTGTGTCCAAGAAGCAAGAATAATTTCCCCCGTTTCCCTAGATAGTTGACTATTCAATTTGCATGGGTTTCTGACCCCCCCCCACCCCCCCCAACAGTGTAGGGAAGAAATGTTTTAAGAAGTTGGCAGGGATGGTTCCTGAAACTTGCATTTTTTTTTTATGAAATACCAAAGGAAAACTGTCTTCTTGCACAAAACAAAATAATAATAAAAAGCACTCTCTGGCCAACTCTCAAAAACACATGGAAAATTAAAGCTAGTTTTTGTGAATGATAAGAGTAATTTGATGTCCCCTTCTTTCTCTTTTGCTCATCTTCCTCTGAGGTGATGCCACAGGGATTTGTTTTTGGCATTTTGTGGACATGAATGAGGAGGTGTAGATAATTTTTATTTATTTATTTATTTTGTGTGTGGGGGGGAGGGGTATGAAAATTCCACTGCATTATAATCCAAAAGGATTGAGTTGGTCCCTTTCTGTCTTTGTGCAAAAGCAGAGATGGCTCAAGGAGTTAGTGAAGGGTATATTGGAACCTTTCACCTTCTAAGTCCAAGTATGGTTTATATTGGTCAGAAGCTCTAATAATATAAGGCCTCTGTGAAATGACTTTGTTACAGTAGGTACTGTGGTTACTAGGTACTTTAAATGCTAAGTGATGGTTGGTCTAAATCTAGTTCCCAGTGGATAAGTGTGAACTTAAAAAAACTAAAAAATATCCACCAGCTTAGCTGGCACGAATGGATATTCTCAGCTGTGAGGTGAAGACATGAATGGCCGTGAAGACTGCACTACTTTCTTATCTCAAGGAGTTGGTCCCTCCATTTTAGGACTGAAATACATTGGCAGGGTTTTGTAGGGGAGCTTGCAGTATTGCTTTTTTTATCTGTCCTGTGGGTATCTAGTGGACTTCAACCTCTAGCACTGAGCATAAACTTTAAAAATGAATGTAAGGTCTTGGCTACACACGAGTTGCACTGACAGTTAAATCAGAGCAATCCCATTATGTGGACATGAAAACTGGTTTAAGAGCGGCTTATCTGGATCTAAGCTTAAGTAGGTAAGGAATTAAGTCATGTAACAGAAATGTCTGGATTGGTCTCTACTGTTACGGATACATCTACGCTACAGTAAAAACAAACTGCAGCCCTGATTCTCAGAGGCTGGATCAACTGACTTTGGCTCACTGGGTTTGGACTGCAGGGCTAAAAATTGCAGTGTAAATGTCTTGACTGGAGTCCAGGTTCTGAAACCCCTCAAGGGAAGTGGGTCTCAGAGCCTGAATGAGCCCTGCGAGCACAAGTCACCTGACCCAGGCCAGTAACTACCATGGCATTGTCTTTATTGCATGTAGACCTTCCCTTTGACTGCCGAACATGGTGCCCGTGTGATTTCTCTGTGCCAGCCACTGTGGAGGGTGCTCTGAATGAAATTAGCCCTTTGTGGGAGTGTATTTTATTGTTAACCTGGGTTCTTGTCTTTCCTGTATCCTGTGCTGTCTACATAGTAATTAATGTCCAATTGCTTTGAAGAATTTACAAATGGAGCAGTATTTTGTTTATTAAGTCTTTTAATGTCAGAGAATCAAGAAGCAGCAGTTGTATTTTTTTAAATGAAAACCTTCGAATGAAGCATGCTGCTTTGTTTGCCTTTTAAAAAAAAAAAAATCTCAAACAGTCAGGAGATTTTTATTGCAAAGGCCTAATAACCTTGACAGTGTCCCTTAGAATGCATTCCACTTCTATGCTGTTTACAGCTCTGATATTTCTGGAGGAAGAGCGACATGTTTGTACCCTAGGCATTCTGAGCCCAAATCTGATTGTACTTACTGTGGTGTAAACCAGGAGTTAATCCAATTATGTCAGTCCATGTATTGATGTAAAATTGGCGGTGAGTGAGCTCAGAATCAGGTCCTTTGTCTTTAATTTAGCTATTGGCCAGCTGAACAATTATGACAAGCTTTCCTTTGGGAAGGTACCAGTCAGCTGACCCCTTTGATCTGTTCAACCGATGCTACTTGCTGGGGAAGGGATAGCTATTTCTTCTGCAGTTAAAGAGCATATTGAAAGGGGTAAGGGAGTGGGAAGGGCAGTGAGGTTAAACCCTCCTTGGCATCACGTCTGACTGTTGCAGTCTTCCCATGTGCGTAATATTAATCATGGCTTTGTTTGTCCTTGTCTGACTGTAGTGGGAAGTATGTAAATATTCACCTGAGCATCAACTTGCACTGTGCAGCATTTATAGACAACTTTGTTTTGTTTTAGGGGTATTCGAAAGCCGTGGGAGGCTTTGTAAAATTAGGTTTAATAAACCCAGATCCATATCCTTTGCTTAGCTCAACGGCACCACCTATAACCTGGGTAAGTATGTAGGATTTAATTTGTTTTTCTTCTTTCCTTCATTCCATTAATCTTTCCCAAGGTTTGGGATTTGCTTTCTCTGGGAAGCCTATGTTGAGTTCTGTTCTTTTGTGTTTGTAAGGAGATTGAATTCTTAATGGCCTTTCTTACTCATAATTCAGCTCTCACTGGCCACTGACATTTGGCCACAGTTGGAAGACAGGATACTGAGCTAAATGGACCTTTTGGTCTGCCCCAGTATGGCTGCTCTTATGCTCTCAAACCCAGAGGCTTCTCAGCATGCATTTTATTTCCTCATGACACCCCTCTTTTCCCCCCTCTTCTCTTCCCCCCCGTGCCCCCCGTGCCAAGGAATTGCTTTTACAAGCCTTTTCTGATGCAGGTTGCCCATATGAATATATGAGAACTTTCATTCTATATATCCTTGTGCATATTTTTAATTTCCTTGATGGATATTTTCAAGTCCTGCCCTCCTCTGCTGTCTTCCTTTCCACCTGTTTTGCAAATTCTTCCCTTGTTCTTAAGTTTACATGTAGTTTTTCTCCTAGACGTTTCTCCTGATATTTGTCATCTGCAAACTGCCACCCAAGCGTCAGAAACTCAGCTGGTGTAAATCCCCATAGCTCCATTGAGGTCACGGGGAGACTACACTGATTATTCTAGCTAAGGGACTGGTCTACAGTGTATTTTCCTTTTGTTCAAGGCTGCCTGTGAATGTAGGACAGGGTCAACCGGGGATGGGGGTAGCTAAGAAGGATACAATTAGAGGCTTGACCTCTGAGAGTATGTCTACACTGCAATTAAAAAGCTGCGGCTTGCCTGTGCCAGCTATTGGGGCTCAGGCTAAGGGGTTGTTTAACTGTGGCGTAGACATTTGGGCGTGGGTTGGAGCACAGATTCTAGGACCCTGTGAAGTGAGAGGGTCCTAGAGCTCAGGCTGCAGTGTCTATACCACAATTAAACTGCCCTTAGCCTGAGCCCTGCAAACCCAAGTCAGCTGGCATAGGCCAGCTGCAGGTGGCTTTTTGCAGTGTAGACATCCTAAGAGCCCAGAATCTAGCCTGGCTGAACATTATTCCTGTAAACTATTTTTTAAGGAAAAATGGGTTTGTGATCGAAACCCTCCCCCACAAATGTCCACTTTCTGCAAGTGTTTATTTTTTTTTTTTCAGTGAACGTAACTCCAGGATCTGGGGCTTTAAAGAAACTCCAACTGTGATAGGACTCGCAATAGCATGAGAAATGGCAACACTGCCATTTCAACAAATTTTATCCACTTGTATTAACGACAGAGTTGTCCTCTCCTATGACTCCTTAAGAATTTCTCCGTTTATTTCATTTCTCTTGTACAGTCTTCCAGGTCACAGCTTGAGGCTTGCTGCTGAACTGACTTTGTAACTGCCAGATGACACTTGCTTCATACATGCAATCCTGCTTTACAGCTTTCCTTCTTATATGTTTGGAAGAACATGGAGCAAGCAATAATTAGCATTAATGAAAAATCTATTCAGTCCCTGAGATATGTATAAAAGTTATAGGAAAGGATTTTTGGGTAAACATTTGTGAGATGACTAAAATCAGGGCTGTTGGCAGGCTGCCACCATTCTGTCCTTTTTCCCCTTCCTTTTGTAAATTGAAGTGTCTACCCCTTAGGCGATCGTTCTGGCCTTCCGATGACCTGCCCCCAAACAGGTGGTCTTGGGAGTCACCTCATCAGTCCGTTTCCTCCCTTCTTCAAAATGGGATTCCTCCGACTCTCACCTGCTTTAAGAACCCCCCAGCCAAGCAGAGAACCTCTGGCTCCTCTGACACTTGGTCTCTGACATTTGCCGCCAGTTCAACATAAAGCAGTTCTGGGTTCAGTGTTGTCCTCCCCCACTGTCTTTTGTTTGTTCACGTTCCCATTCCCCCCTTCCCTTGCTCAGCAAGGGGGCAGGACCCAGGAGAGACAGGTAGTTCAGAAAGAGTGCTGGCTGGAGAGACTGTCCATGTGTGTACGCACATGGACAGCCCATCCCCTTTCTCACTCCCTGCAGTATGGAGAAGGGGCAATTGGCTCTCACTGCACTTTAGAATTCTGTCCTACCCTTGCTTCCCTGGAAGCAGAGACCTTCCTCTCTTCTCTCCCGCAAACTCTAGAGATTCACTTTGTCCTCTGTGACCTGCACCTTTAGATAAGCTAGTTTCCTAAAACTTCATCCCAGGGGTATGAGATGAGGTCCCAGGCCTGCAGGTGGTAACTTGCTATTTGAATTTTTTTTGTAACTAGAAAGAGCTGATGTGTAAGCTGCTTGGACTCAAACCTTCTGCCGAATCTGCTGTCCTTAGAGACGCAATCTACAACAAACTGGAACAGGACAACAGTCAGCTGCAAGCAGTGGAATGGTAGGAGATTCCAATCATGATTTTTTTTTTTTTTTTTTTTTTTTAAGAAAGCCTTTCTAGAATCCAAGTGTATGGCCCAGAACATGAATGTTAGGGTTTACTAAACATAGTCATTCAGAGTTTTTCCTCTAAACTTTACTTTTAAACCTGTGTTTTGATGATTGTGACAAAGGTTTGGCAAGGCCTGATCCTGCAGTTGTTACACATCTGGACGTGTTGCATGGGGATAAGCTGCAGAACAGAGCCCGCATTATTAACCTTCTAGAAAACTGAGAAGTTTGACCCTAGAGATCTCTAAAATATTTAGCAACATTCCGTTGGGTTCCATGCATTGCAGTTAACCAAATAGTCAATTGACACACTGATGATTTTGCATCCCACTAGCAATGCTATGATCTAATGGAGAGGTCTTCTAGAACTTCAAGGATGCATTTAAGTTTAAAAAAAACCAACCAAACCAAAAAAAAACCCTCTTAGTCATAGAGAAACCCACACACATCTTGAGGGATGTATGTGGAGGTGAGGGTTAATGGAATCCAGTATTTGCCAATGCAACGCCATTCACAAAATATTTCCTAGTATCATCTTAGCAGAGTATTTTTGGAGCACTGTGTCACGTGGGTTCATATACTCTGCTCTGTTTCTTTACAAAATATATCTTAACCTTTGTCAATGATAAAATTAGTAATGTCTGACCTCATGGTGACACCAGAGAGCAAGGTGTCTAGCACAGTGGCTAGGATATGGTACTGGCAACCAGGAGAACTTAATCTCTTCCTGCTCTGTTGATGACATGCTGCGTCACATTCAGGAAGCCACTCCTCTTCTGTGCCTGCATCTTTTCTCAGCTGACCAATGGATGATATGTTTTTAATTTGTAGATCGGACAGTGCTTTGCTAAGATGTTAAAAATCTTGTTTATTGCTGCAATGTGACGTAGTATTACGTCTAGTCTGTAGACCATGCATATGGATGAAATTTTGCTGGAATTAATCCTAGAGATGCTCTGCACTCCCGTTCTGCTGAGTCGCAGGGTGGGTTGATCTAAATTGGCAAGCAGGAAACCTCGATTTAAATGATCAATGGTCATCTAGTTTTGCATTTGTACTTTTTTCCTAAAGGTTCATTCTCGTTGGTTGGTATAGCCATTAAAATATGTTGATTTGTGGTAGAACTCATACAAAAATGCATGAACACAGCATCTTAAAAAATGCTTTGTATTAACTAGAACTACCTTAAGTGTTCTGGATACATAAGCAAGAAAAGGTTATCAAAAATGTTTTTTGCATTTGAAACTAACTGATTTACTAAACAAAGGAATTTCAGTTAGTAAATTGATCAATTGTTTCTGGTCACCATGGGCCATCTTTTTGAAGATATTTAGGTGCCTGAAGATGCCGATAGGTGCCTATTGGTGTTTTCAAAACTGTCTGAGCAGGTTAAGTGCCTAACCCCTTGAAATCTATGGGGGTTAGGTGCCTTCCCTGCCTAGAATTTTTTTGAAAATACCCCAAGGTATCTATTTGTATTTTTTTAAGGCACCTAGATAGCTTTGAAAATCTGGCTGCATGTTCAAGTTTTTAGAATTCGTAGATCTTATCTCCCACCTGGTTTTTATTTCTAGATGGGAAGAGGAAAAACAAGCTTTCCTGGTTTTTTTTGTTTGTTTGTTTGTTTGTTTGTCTTTTTCCTCCCCAACATCTAATTGGTTTCTCACCTTTGAATGAATTGGTCCAAATGAAGAAACTATTCTCTCTGCTACTGCTAGCTAAACTGAACCTAAAAGTAATGAAGGCAAAAGTTTTTCTACACAACAAACTGAAGGTGCTTACATTTGGAAACATGTAAATACCAGCATTCACTACACTGGAAAGACTGAAAATAGATTCTTACTTTATGTGGTTCATAAAATTGTGGCGCGCATGGCACACACCCATATATAATATAGCTTGAGCTGACCTCAAAAGTTAAAGATGTTTAATTATAGAGAATCGGGGGAAAACAAGTACCACTCTTTAACTCGTTTAAAATTTTGAGGCGGACTCATTGATGCAGCATATTTTTTGTTTGTTTGTTTAAATGATTTTAATATATTCTAGTAAGCTTAGGCCTTAACATGAGTTGTTATAATTCTAAAATTAATTTTAAGCGGGTTTATTTCTCAAAAGGAAAAAAAATTAAATTTTATTTGTTTAAATCTTACCCTTTTTTTTATCCACCTGTGCGTTCGGTTACATAGATACAGGGTCAAAATTCCACATGATGTCCTATTGCTCCTCTCCCAGAATTACACACTAAGGACCTCGTCCCTCAATTTGTGTATTGTAGAATGTAACTTTCAGAGGAAAGCAATGATCTCATTCTGTCGTCTCTCTCTCACCAGGTTAGGGATACTTGAAGATGAGCCAGTTCCTATAGCAGACTCCATTGTGGGGGCACTTGCCAAGCACATGGAGCTGAAGCTGCCCTTTGGTACGTAAGCCTGCTTTTATTTCACATTTGAACTGAGGTCTTGCCTACACACACTCAAGAAAATTAATCTGAATTAAGTAAAGGTATGGATTTTGAAGTGGATTTGTTAAACCCTCTGTGTGGATGCTCTCAGGCCTGGTCTTCACTAGGACATTAGGTCGATATCACTATCTCGCTCAGGGGTGTCAAAAATCCACATCCCTGAGCGACGCAGTTAAACCGACCTAGCCCCTGGGGTAGACAGCACTAGGTGGATGGGAGAATTCTCCCATTGACTTAGCTACAGCCTCTCAGGGAGGTGGATTATCTATGCCAGTGGTCACCAACTGGTTGATTGCGGTCGACTGGTTGCTCCTAGAGGATCTCCCAGTCGATTGTGATCTCTGGTGGTGCAGTGTGGCTGCCGCTAAGTGGCGCGTCACTTCCTCAAGCTCCCATTGGCTAGGAACGGCAAACCGCGGACCCTGGGAGCTGAGGGGCTCCATGCCTGTGAACGCTCCAGGTAAACAAAATAGCCAGGCCCGCTAGCGGCTTATCCTAACGGGCCAGGAGCCATAGTTTGCCAACCCCTGAAATATAGGGTCGGCTTATGAAAGGGTCATACAGTTTTTGCTATTTTTACCTACCTATCTTGGGGGTTGGCTTATAAACGAACAGGCTAATGAACGAGTATATACGGTAGTTCAGTGTTGCACAATCATCATTAACTTCTGCTCTGCCTTCTCATCTTCCTTGGAGGGCACAGATGAGCAGTAAGGGAACCAAAATCATCTTGGTGACTGACTTCTCCATGCTGCTGAGGTTGCGTGCTGGAAAGAAATGCTATGGGGCTGCTACTCTGAGTGGATGGCCTTTATCGTAATGGCTGGAGACAGGATTCCTCGTGATTATATGGTTGTCTCCTCCATGGGTAGTCATGTAGGCCCTGCTCCACAAAGACTTTAGCTGCCAGTTTCATGCTGGGATCCCCAAGACCCCCGCTTGGCAGTTGCTTAACCCCGTTGATGTCTAAACTCATGAGGTACCAAATTTTAGCTGTAAAAGTCACCTAGGTGCCTAAGTTTCTGCTTCAGGGTATGTGCCTACTTGAGGCATCAGGGCACCTGAATTCCTATCTCACATCTAAGCCCCAGTGCAATCCTCAAACCAGGTGGATATAGGCAGATGAAACACCTGTCTTGTCTGCTGGGTCTGATCCATTGGGATGCTTGGAGCACACCGAACTACATGGAACAGCCAGGTCGAGGAGGAGAAACATAGGAGGATGACCCCTCTCCTCCCCTGTAACTTTTAGCTCAGTGGTACTCACCTGGGACCCAGGTTCAGTTTCCTGCTTTCCTTGATGAGGCGGAACATGACCAGGGGTATCCCACCTCTCAAGTGTGTGCCTAACCACTAGACTATGGGATATTCTGATGTGGGGCTCTCTGTCGCTCCTGTGGAAGCTGTTCCACATGGTATAAATAATTAAATATAGTTTGGACCAGAGAGAGAGAGAGAGAGTGAGAAGGCCCCAGGCACCACTCGGCACTTCCAGAATATGAGTGGCCAGATAACTGAGATGTGTGAACAGCTCTGTTCATCTCAATGGATGTTCTCATCTCCCCTTTCTGCCTTCCTCCGTCCCGTTCCTTCTCCTCCCCTGCCCCCCGGCCCTGCTGTCAGTGCTTGCGAGCCTCTGTTATGTACCAAACCATGCCCATTCGTAGCCCATGCTCATCCCAGTCCCAGCATTGTTTGGTACGAGCATGCCTGTTCTCTGTTCCCCACCCAGAGGGACAGTCCTCCGCAGATCCTGACTGACATGGGAAGGGAGCAGAATCTGGGAAAGGGGCTCAGACTGCCCAGATGGGAGAGGGGTTTGGAACCCCCACAAGGGCAAGTCACCCCAGATCCTGGCTCACATGATGGAAGCCCCCCCCCCCCTGAAAATATAACATCCTTCTATATTAGCTGTACCACTCAAGGCATGTTTCCCAAAAGTATAAATCTCTCCGTCTCTGTTGAAGGGGGTAACATCATGCCCATTGATTGTTCTCAGGTTTCTTCCAAGCTTTGAGTTCAAATTCACAATCCATGGGTGCAGCTCGGGTTCAGTGGCCACCGTGTTTCCCTTTGAAGGCTCAAACCCTGTTTTAACAAATCTCTAATCTGCACATCCCATTTCAAATTTTTTGGTTGCAGCTGTTTTCCTCACTTAACCCTGAATAACTTCAATATACATCTCCCACCCCAAGGGGCAGTGAGTGCCATACTCCATGTGCTAAATCCCATGTGACTGAGATCCGTTTGGGGTGGATCAGAGCCATAGTTTGAGCCCCAGGTGTGGGTTTAAAAAACAAAAACAAAGAAAGCAGAAGAATTTTAGAATGATCCAAGTTTGGACCAGCTAACACTATTCAGCACCTCCATGAGGCATAGTAAATTTTAAGACCATCTGAGTAAGCATGTGGATTTTAAAGCACTTAAAGTAGGCCTTAACAGAGAGCAATGATGAACTGCATCTCCACTCTAAGGGTACGTCTATACTTACTTCCTGGTCTGGATGTAAGCAATCGATCTTCTGGGATCGATTTATCGCGTCTGGACAAGACGCGATACATCGATCCCGGAAGTGCTTGCTGTCGACGCTGGTACTCCAGCTCGGTGAGAGGAGTACGCGGCATCGACGGGGGAGCCTGCCTGCCGCGTCTGGACCCGCGGTAAGTTTGGACTAAGGTACTTCGAATTCAGCTACGTTATTAACGTAGCTGAATTTGCATACCTTAGTCCGAAGTGGGGGGTTAGTGTGGACCAGGCCTAATAGAAATTAGTGTTGTACTTTAGTAAATTGTGTCTTCTATATATACAGCTGATCCAAAGGTTTGTGTGATGGGAAAAGTAAAGCAGTGTGGTACTGAACCTGCAAAGCACATATGAGCAGTCCCATTGAAGCAAATGGGATTGCACATGTTTTGAGATAAGCACGTGCTGAAGTGCTTTGCAGCATCAGGACCAGAGAGCTCAGAATTGTGCAGGATCAAGACTAATCACAGTATCCATTCTGTGTCCATTTTATGGATGTCTAAACAGATGTGAAATAACCCAAGGTGGGAAAATTAATAATTCAGCCATATAAAGATGCATCTTCAGAACAAGAACTACGTTATGAAGTGGTTAGCTGGTCAAATGGCCATATTAGCCCAGAACTGTTGTGGGTTAATTTTCTACTTCTCCAAGGGTTCCATGACTGGGTTTATGTAGCCAAGTACAGTGTGCCTTGGGTAATTTTACCACTGATGCAGCTAACCCTTTTTACATGGTTTTTCAATTATCATGGGACTGATTCTGATCTCACTTGTGCTGATGTGAATAAGGAAAGTCTCCAATGAAGTCCGAGTAAGTTCAATAGGACCCATGTTCCATCTTACAGAACTGTTATCATTCTAACTTGGTTTATTTTATATGTGAAATGTTCGGGATCAGGCGCTTAGCACTGGCAGGTGACTGTTCGGGTTAAGCAGAAATAAGAGAATAAAGCAGAGCACACACACATTTGATTTGTAAGCTTTTGGGCCTGCAGCTAATCTTCTCATTGTGTGCACAGTGCCTAGCACAATGGAGCCGTGTGTTACTGTAATACAAATTAAATTAATGGAGATCTGGTATCTCCTAGAACTGGAAGGAACCTTGAAAGGTCATAGAGTCCAGGCCCTGCCTTCACTAGCAGGACCAAGTACTGATTTTGCCCCAGATCCCTAAGTGGCCCCCTCAAGGATTGAACTCTCAACCCTGGGTTTAGCAGGCCAATGCTCAAACCACTGAGCTATCCCTGCCCCCTATTAAAAGATATATAATAATCTAGGTTTGTCTCTTTAGGTGCTGGAGAACGAGATATGATAATTATGAGAAATGAAATAGGTATCAGGCACCCATCTGGCCATTTGGAAGATAAATTCATCAGTCTGGTTGTGTATGGTGATGATAAAGGATATTCTGCAATGGCTAAAACTGTAGGGTACCCCACAGCTATTGCTGCTAAGATGGTTCTAGATGGTAAGTGGCTATTCATCCTATACTATGAATATACAATAATTATTTTAGGGAATTGCTTCACACCTTTCTTTGTGTTCTGCTACCTCTAGAAAATGTAGAATATACCACAGGGCTTGTCTACACTGGCACTTTATAGCACTGCAGCTTTCTCGCTCAGGGGTGTGAAAAGACACCTTCCTGAGCGCAGCAAGGTTCAGCGCTGTAAAGTGCCAGTGTAGACAGTGCATCCAGATGCTCCGAGCACTGGTAGCAATGCCCCTTGTGGAGGTGGGTTTTTTTAGAGCACTGGGAGAGCAGAGCTCTCTCCCAGTGCTCTGCTGCGACTACACGCCACGTTAAAGCGCTGCCAGTGTAGACTAGCCCACAGTTTATATAAACCACCTTTAGAAAGTCTTGAATTGTTCCTATATCATCTTAAATTGTATTTTTTTTTTTAATTTCCATTTTTGGGCATGGATGTTAGTGATTTTCTTAAAACACTTTGTCACTGATTATTTTTTAAAATCTAAACTGTACTAAAGGCATGTTAATGATACTTATTAATGACTAACATCTGCATAGAAGCTTTCATCCAAAGGTCCCAAAGTGTTTTTCTGCCTTTAAAAATGATCTACAAAGTATGGGTTAAGAGTGAAAACTCCATGACATTTTTGGTCCCCTCCTAATCTTTATGCTGAATGGTTTTAGGGCCCACTGCTGAAACCCCAGAGTAACTCAATACTAACTAAAATACAAGTCTAGCCGTGCAGACCGATTCCTGATTTGATTTTCAGAGATCATGTTAAAGGAGAGATGGGAGGGATGTTAGATCATTTTGAGGAATGGGAACTACTCTTTCTCCATAACCAAAATCTTCCCTAAAACCACAACCAAAAAGTCACTCTTTGTGCTCCATCTATCACTGCTTTCTAGCGTGATCATTTGCACGCAGAGAAGGAGGGGAGCATTACTGTTGCATGATGCGCTATCCTTTCTTCCCCTCTGGAATTACATTGTCCCTTCTCAAGACTGAGATCCTATTCATTCTGTGGCTTACAAGGAGATTGCTGAACCACAAAGATCCAAATTCTGCATTTACTCCCATGAGTAATCCTGTCAATCAATGGGGCTAGTTGTGTGAGTAAAAGTTACTCAGCATGACTAAAGATTGCAGAGTCTGACCCAAGATATTGAGAGGCTTCAGCTCACTTGCAAAATCTTAACTATCCTTAAAGGATTTTGACTATTGTTACTAAATGTTTTTGCCAGAGAAGAGAGGCTTTTGACATGGCAAATAAACTTTTGTTGCATTCAGCAGGGAGATCTTGACTCACAACAGGCTAAAGCTAGTTGCTCTCATCCCCACCCTCTGAATCATTTGACTTTTGAGGCCTGCATTAATATTAACCAACCAATGTTAACCCAGACTGTATATGTAAATAAACATGTGCTTCTTGGTCGTGGCCACCTCTAAGTCATTCCTCATATTCAGATCTGTTCCTTTATTGGCTAAATGGAAATGAAGAAAAACTTTCGGAGTCTGATTTCACCTTGCTCTTTTTAGTTTGGTTTGCAAGGGAAGAAATTGTTCCACACCTGACACTCATGGCCAAAATGGAAAGTCTTCCACATATTTTGTTGGATCCATTTGAAATGTGCAAAAAGTTCTGTTTTCAGTATCTCTTGAAATAAAGATGGACTTTGCTTTCACCTCCAGGCAGCATCAATACTTTACCTAACAGGTCAATAAATCTTGATATACACTGCAACATAAATTAGTATATGCACATTAGTCTAAATATTATGTAATTTCCTTTTTTTAATCTTTCAGGTGAAATTGATGCCAAAGGCATGGTAATTCCATTGACGAAGAATATCTATGCACCAATTCTTGAGCGCATTAGAGCAGAAGGCATTGTATGTAGTACCCAAAGCATTATCCGACAAGAACTAACAAGAGATTGAGCTTTGGTTTTTTTTTTTTTTTTTTTTTTTTTTTTTTTAAGGATCTCAGTTAGGCTTCCAGTTTTATATACACAAATTGTGGGCCCACTACTTGAGAGTGCCTACAGACTGAGGCACAAATTATGCCCTTTATAAAATTATCTACCTGCCTTTATGTGGGCCTAATGAATATTTAGATGTATAAAGGATAGCACTTTTCCCTTCAAAACTGTGGGGGCTGTTCAAGTATCCTGACCAGAGCCAATTGGCTTAACAGGTCACATCATAAAGTGCCCAAAGCCTTTTGCCATGAACATACCTTACAATGCATTATTACACTGTATAATACAGTAATGATGTATTTGTAGTATACACTTTGCTAATAAAGAAGATATCTAAGGAGATTTTAAACACAGTGTATATCTTTAGAACATGAGAGTGTGTTATTGGCAGAAGCATGGAACTCTATTGTAGGAAAAATCTCAGGGTTAGGTCCAAAAAGGATTTAGGACCATAACTTACACCTTAGGTTCCTAAATCCAAAATTTAGATCCTCTGATCCCCACACAGCTGCCACCTAATTCTGTATGTGCCAAAAATCCCTAGGCACAAAAACTGCTTTTGGTAAAGTTCCCATGGTTCCTAAAAATGTGTCCGAGTATGCAAATAGCTGCCTTAGGTGCCCCGGTGCCATTGGGGCTTAGGCATGAGCAAGGCGTCTTTCACCTGTTTCTCCTGCAGGGCCCAATATGTTAGCTGTTCTCAGAAGCACATTCTCTCTCTGGCCTGATGAAGATTTATTTATACTCAGTGGAACAGCTTCAATAGGAGCAGGGGTGTGCACAAGGCGAGCAAGCTGGAGGATGCACCCCCCAATAATCATCGGGGGCACAGAACTCCTCCAGGGCTACAGGGAGGAGAGCAAGCTCCTGCTGGAGCTGGGATAGGAGGAGAAGGGAGAGGGAAAAGAGAGCTGTGGAGGAGAAGAGACGGGGAGCCAGAATGTTTTCTCCCCCCACAGTCAAAGTTAAATTTCTGCACACACCCCTGAACATGAGACTGAAAGAAAACTGTACCAGAATACCCCATAGCCCGGTGGTTAGGCCACTCTCCTGGGAGTGGGGAGACAAAGTTCAAGGTTCTACTCCTCTTCTGGCAGGAAGGGGAACTGAACCTGGGGGTCTCCTAAATCCTGGGTGAGTATCTAATCATTGGCCTAAAGGTTATAAGAGAGGAACAGCTCCTCCTCCTTTTTTGCTTGCTGCAAGAAAGGGCTTAGGTATCTAACTCTCTAGGAAAGGGATCATGCCTGTGAATTCTAAACTGAGAGGGGTGCCTGGAGTTAGCCACCTAACTCCCTTTGAGGGGTAGGGTTGAGCTATACCCCCTCAATTATCCTTTCCTATTGGCTAGCTTACATGACTCCCCACTCAGCATGCTGGCTTTTGTGGATTCCATTCTTAGGCACCTAACTCTCCCCATGCATTGTATAGGGAGCATGGGTACATAACTTAGCTATGGAAGTCACTAGGTAGCAGGGTGCCTAAAATGTTAAGCACTGTGATGCTTAACATTTAAATCCCTTTTGTGGACCTAGCGCTTATGTGCACATTAATATGACAGAAGTACATCTGGTTAATGAGTTCCAACCAGGAATTAACTTTAAACATTGTCTTGGTCTAAGTCGTTGACAAGTGTATACCAAAGTCAGTACCAGAAGCAGAACTAAATACTGAATTTGCATCTTGTTACCAAGAAAATATTGATCATGTTGTAAAGTACAAAAATATTATTCATTTATATCTCAGGGTAATATGAAAGCAATTATAACTTCAGAAACTCTAGTTCGCTAGTGAATTAAATCATGTGAAATCTTGAAATGGCAGTCTTGCAGGCTTTAAATATAAAATCTGCATTTTCATATCTGCCAGATATGAAATTGGAATAAATATACAGGTTAATAGAGTGCTTTAAAAAAAAACACCACACCAAAATCCATGTTTCTAGTTACTAAATAGAAGCTTATACATTGGATTAATAACTATAGCATGTATTGCTTTTTTTTTCCAGTTAAAAGGCATGCAATGGCATATAAAAGTACTCTACGCTTGGGATTCGCAAGGGCATTTAGGATGTAAATATAGTGCAGTTAAAATGTCATTGGGAGAAAAGCTCTTAAGTCTGTTTACTTTTGAATTACTCTTTCCACTTAACTTGGCCTATCAAATAATGTAATTACAAGGGTAAAAGAAATACTGTCGTGCGCAAGGCCTTAAGATATTATAGGCAGAGAAGTATAAATTCAGGATGTACTATTGTTTTTACACTGGTCTGTGAGTGTGTTCTCCTTCCTCTCTGCCTTGTCCTAGAACACATTGTGAAAACATTCATCCAATATGTTAATCAGTTGGGACTTCCACATAGCAGTGTCTGGCCTGTAAAGCTGTCCTTCCTTCATGTAATACTGACCTCTGATTCTGGAAGTCTGCCTGCTTTTCTTCTTGGTGGTTCCCCACTGCACCCTTCTCCCTAGTTTACTATGTCACAGCCCTGAGAGGCTGGGCTACCAGAGGTAATTTTTGGTTTTGGAAGTGAGGCAGCTTGTCCAGTAGTAGGAATCAGCTGCAAGCATAGATGAAGTTCATGATTAGAGGTAAAAATAAACTATTTCACAGGAGTTAGATGATCTAGGGGCAGTATTTAATAAGATGATGGTTGCCACAAAGCTGAAGAGAGAAGGTGGTAGAGGGAGGAAGCAGAAAGTAAGAGATGGTAGAAAAAGTCCAAGGGTTAAATAGGTGTCTAGGGAGGGATTTAGTAGTGGAACTACTTCATGATCCCAGCTCTTGATTCTACTAGGTTACCATGTCTGTTTTGGTGATCAGGATAAATGGGTGAAATCCTGATCCCAGTTAAGTCAATGGGAAAACTCCCATTGGCTTCAAGAGGACTGGGATTTCACCCAAGAACTCTATCTAGACCCCCCCCCACTAAACCATGCATTCATTTCCCCCAATGACAGAAAGCAAGTGCACTAAGAAAATGGGGTTGGTTTGTTTGTTTGTTTGTTTGTTTGTTTGTTTTTAAACTGATTTCAGAGCAGGAGAGGAGGAACCACTCCGGTGTTTCCTTCACAAACTACCTCTGCCCCCTTTGAAGGGATAGGAGAGAATGTATTGCTATTTCCCAGCACTAGGGCTGTCTGTTCTGCTAGGCCATTTTTCGAAACTAAAAAGCCACTGAAAGTCCTTTCTGAAGACTGTAGACTTGTTTTTAAAGTGATAGAGGGAGAGTGCTGAAAATTGTATCAGCTGATGCATGGTGCTTAAAGAAAAAAAATCTGGAGTTTAAATTTTTAAATTATACTTTTGCGTGGAGTGAAAATAGCTTTTTTGCTTTTTAAATGTGGGAACTTCTGATGTTGGATTATTTTGTATACAACATGGATTTCTACATGTAGAATTGATAGACGTCCAGGGCTTCTCTTGTGAAGTTTTCTGTACACAATAAATGTCTTTTGAAGCTGAGTTTATAGTTGCCTCCTTTTCGCATAAATCACAAACTATATCATGGTTGTGGCTGCAGAAACAAATGTCCATGAACAGTTTGGGGTGTCCAGAAGCTGTTGTCTAAACTAAACTGTCTAAACTCCAGGGTGAAATTCTGGCCCTGTTGAAGTCAATGGCACAACTCCCATTTGACTTTAGTGGAGCAAGGGTTTCCGCCAGAGGCTCTGATTCTGCAGACTTCAGTGAGGCTCTGAATGGATACACGGGTCTGCCTGTATGCAGCAGTGGGTGAGATCGGGGCCCCTATCAAAATGCATAAAGACTCAACCACACAAACATTAGAAATCCAGAAAATGCACAGTTAAAGTTGTACTTTTCACACCACATGCCCACAACTGTAACTGTACCTCTGTGGAGCTGGCAATGGGGATTATAACCCCTCTCCTCAACATCACCTGCCATTTTCTACACCTCTCACCACCCCCTCATTTCCACCTCCAGATCTGCTGTCCTAGCTTCACACTTTCATGGACTCGAACTGCTCCTTGAGCTGGGGGAGTACTAGCACAGGGTAGGTGGACAGCACTCTGGACGATCGGCTCCCATGTCCACACGCACAGACTCTACTGCTTTAACTATATTGGTACAGTTAAAGTAGTACAGCCCTCTCTTCCTGCACTGTGGATGCAGTTGTATTGGTATAGCTTAGGCTGGGTCTACACTACCCGCCTGAATCGGCAGGTAGAAATCGACCTCTCGGGGATTGATTTATCGTGTCCCGTCGGTTGCACTATCCATAATGTAAGCAACAATTTAATCTTCAAAACCATTAACACATGGTTGAGAGCCCTAGCTGCTGGCAATTGTTATTGTGTCTTTAGAACAGTTTCACGTGATACATAAATGTCAGCTGTAAAAGTTTTCCTTACATATGCAGTCACAATAACAAATGCTGTATTTTCAGGAGTTGGGAGTGTTGCTGGTGAGTATATGTTTATGTGGGTGTTCTTAGCAGGAAACCTGTTAAGCATAGCATGATATACACAGGTTTAAAAAAAAAAATCCTTAAATTGACAGTTAGTTGGCGGCTAGCAGTCTATACCTAACATCTTTTCCCCACTTGACCCAGTTTACAAAGACAGGCTCTGTCTTTTGAGGCTGTAGCCTGGATTATAAGAAAAAAATTAATTAAAAGATGGCCTTTGTCTGAGAATTACGTGCCAGCTCTATTTGGGAACTGACACACATTTATTAAAATCAATAATCCATCACAGGTTGAAGATTAGGGAAGATTTCTTATGATTCTTAATTTCTTTCCAATATGTGTTGCTAAAGAGATTATCCTAAGGACTTATGTTTTAAATAACTTGTCAGGCATGCTAAGATGATGTATGTGATTGCAGACATTGGTGGAAAAAATCTTGGAACACCACTTGATTCCTTTGCTTATTATTTTAAAATGGACAGTGTTTCTTTCAAACTACAGTTTTGTAGTTTGAAAGAAACACTGATTTCAAGGGTGAATTTTCAAAATAGGACCGTGCAGTTTTGCTTTTAGTCTGAGTTAGATTTAAGAGCTACAGTATTTGCCTATCAACCATTTTGTGTACTTGGATTATATATAACTATTTTTAAGTGGAAGAAGTGGGGTAAAAATAGAAGTTGCCAGGGGAAAAAAGTATGACATTGTGTTGGGTTATGGTCCAGTTTTCCTAGCACAAAAGCTGGAGCAGACACAAGCTTTAGGGTTACTTGTGCTGTTGCCGTGAATCATACTGTGTGCTGATACTATGGTGAGGAGAGGAAATATAAAGTAAGAGGAATGGGGTTTGGGAAATAGCCATAAAATCAAAATTAACTTCACTGGCACTTGCACCTCAGTGGATTAAGAGAAATAAAATTATTTTGGCTGTGTTGTTGGAACAGAAGAAGAGAGCCTTAAATTCCATAGTTTCCCTGTTTGAACTACTTATGCAAAGGTTTCAAGCACTTGAGTGCTTTGTAAGAGGTAGAATCCAGTTGCCCAGGCCCCTTCGAGGAAGATGTCTTCTGGCAAAGAAGGAATATCGTACTTCTTTAAAATACAGCTCAGCTGAGGGTTGCAAAGATGCAATTTATGGAGTTTTACAAGGTTATAAATTAACGTGTATTTTTGTGGGTGTGATCAGGTACAATATACGTGGAACTCTTTCATTTTATCAAATGAAGAGACAACATGGATAAACTACAGAGTATCTGTACAAACATAAGTTAGATTTGGTTTTTAAAAGCATTCTCTGACATTCAACATGGCTAAGACCATATAAATAATACTGCATCATCTCCACACACACAATGTACCCTATTAAGCTGTTTTTCCTACCTAACCTAGAATTAGCAATGTACAAATATGACAAGTAACAGTGCAAGAGAACCAGAATAACCTTAGCAGCAAGCAACCTGGTTCACAAAGAGAGGCTCCTTTATTTCCATATGAGTTGTTTGTGCAATTGGTTGACCCTTTGAATTAAGGAGGCAGGGGGTTGCATAACTATAGAAGCAGATGAGGTCAAGTGGAAAATGGGATTTAACAGAATAAACACATTGGCACAATTTTAGAAGACAAATTATGCATTGTCTTGTTTTGACTGATTCAGGTCATCCACTCATACTTGAGATTTCATCTACATGTTACACAGCAAAATGAATGAGTTTGCCTAATTTTCTGGGAAAATCCATTCTACTTAGGACTTGTCTATGTGGTCAGTTATGTGCAGCAAGTCAGGGTGTACTCTAGCTTGCTGTGTTCTAGTTGGTCATATGGAATCCTGCTACTGTGCACTCAACATTCTGTAGCATCCTTTGATGAACAACTATTTCAAAGTGAGTTCTTATAAAATGAGACTCCCCGTTGCTGGAGGACTAAGACAATGTTAAGGCTCCAGAACTGTAGGCAATAAATGAGAGAAGCTGAAGACAAATTTTTATCAATGAGACCAGTGGCGCAGGAACACTTTTAATAGTGTGGGTGCTGAAAGCACCCTTACCTTTGTCTACCTCTTCCCCCTGAGCTTCTGGGGGTAGGGGGGAAGGGGCCAACAATCAGGTGAGAGACCTTATCAAAGGCTTCCTGAAAGGCTAAGTACAATATATACACTGGATCACCCTTGTCTACGGTTGTTGTCCCCCTCAAATAATTGTAATAGATTGGGGTAGGATTGCCAGCTGTCTAATCACACAAACCCAAACACCATTGCCCTAGCCCCTGCCCCACCCCTTCCCTGAGGTCCTGCCCATGCCCACCCTTCTCCAAGGTCCCGCCCCGTTCACACCATCTGCCCTCCCTCTGTCACTCATTCTCCCCCACCCTCACTCACTTTCACTGGGCTGGTGCAGGGGGTTGGGCTGTGGGCTCTGGTCTAGGGACGAGGGGTTTGGAGTGTGGGAGGGGGCTCTGGGCTGAGCCTGGGGCAGGGGCTTGGGATGCAGGAGCAGGTGCAGGGTGCAAGATCTGGGAGAGAGTTTGGATGCTGGAGAGGGCTCAGGGCTGGGGCAGGGGGTTGGGGTGTAGGAATGGGTGAGGGGTATGGGCTCCGTCCAGGCAATGCTTACCTCAGGCGGCTCCTGGTTGGTGGCACAGCGGGGCTAAGGCAGGTCCTCCCCCATCTCTGTGGGCCCTGCAGGGGGACCAGGGTGCTCTGTGTGCTGACCCTGTCTGCAGGCACCATCCCCACAGCTCCCATTGGCTGCAGTTCCTGGCCAATGGGAGCTGCGGAGTTGGCACTTGGGCAGCACACGGAGCCCCCTCCAGGGGCATGCCGCCCGCTTCTGGGAGTGGCGTGGGGCCAGGGCCTTAGCCTTGCTGTGCCTCTAGACTTTTAGTAGCCTAGAATCCCCCAGTTTGCTGTCAGTAGCCTCCAGGAAATAGAGTCTGATTCTGGGAGACTCCCGGTGAAACGGAGGGTTGGCAACCCTAGACTGGTGAGGCATGATTTCCCTTTACAAAAGCTGTGTGGACTCTTCCCCAACATAGTGTGTTCATCTGTGTGTCTGATAATTCTGTTCTTCACTACAGTTTCAACCGATTTGCCTAGTACTGAAGTTAGGTTGACTGGCCTGTAATTGACAGGATCACCTCTGCAGCCTTTTGTAAAAATTGATGCCACATTAGCTATTCTCCAGTCATCTGGTACAGAAGCTGCTTTAAGTGATAAGTTACATACCACACATAGTATTGTGCAATTTCATATTTGAGTTCCTTCAGAAATCTTTGGTGAATATCATCTGATCCTGGTGACTTATTAAGGTTAGTTTATCAATTTGTTCCAAAACCTCCTCTAATGACACCTCAATCTAGGATAGTTCCTCAGATTTGTCACCTAAAAGAATAGCTCAGGCTTGGGAATCTCCATCACATACTCTGCAGTGAAAACCAATGCAAAGAATTCATTTAGCTTCTCCACAATGGCCTTATCTTCCTTTGAGTACTCCTTTAGCACCTCAATCGTCCTGTGGTTCCACTGATTGGCAGGCTTCCTGCTTCTGATGTACTTAAAAACTAACACCAACATTTTTTTAAAAAGTCTTTTGCTAGTTGCTCTTCAAATCCTTTTTTGACCTGCCTAATTATCCTTTTACACTTGCCTTGCCAGAGGTTCTGCTCCTTTCTATTTTCCTCACGTGTACAAAGGCCTCCCACAGTGCTCCGAAGAGCTCCAAGCCCAAGTAGGTCGATCTTCTTCTGCTTCTAAAATCCATTCCCCTCTCATTGCCACAGCATTTCTGCCTAGCCTCATATCAGATCCCAATATACCCCCTAAAAATCTAAAACCAACAGTGTCAAAGTAAACTGGTTATTGTTACACTAGCTTCACGAGAGCTCAATCACAACAGGATGGGGCAAAACCAGCCTGGAGGAAGCAGGGCAGAACTTAGCACTCATGAAATTCACATAGGAAGTTTTTCTAACATGGCCTTGAGCCAGTAGTATTGTTCTTAATGAGTAAAATGTCTTCAGTATTGATGACGCACATTGTTTA